CACACAAATAACATTGAACATATTAATAAAACATGTCATTGATTTGATGTGATTCTATCTCATCATTCACTTTATCTTATTTATAATGTCTTATTATTCACTTCAACCTGTTTCACTTCTTTATGTTTTATTTTTCTTTCTTTTTTATCATTGTTTACTTCATCAGTTAATTCATCAGTTAATTTCTTTAAATAAGTGAAGTATTCCCATTATTTCTTTATAAGGTATGACTATAATAGTGTCAGTCATGTTGATAAAAAAGAATAAAGGTGATGGAAGTGTATGTTGTTAATAACATTACTTATTGTTATTTGTATTTTGAATAATATTCGTCAATATGAGATATAAAAGAGACGATAATAATTCAAATGATGACTATTGTTTCAAGAAAAACAATTTTTTCATATTTTTGTCATTTTTATTAAGTTTTTATATTAAGTTCGCCTTTAAATTATTAATAGAAAATCTATAGTTTTAAATTAATAGAAATAGAAAATACCAAATAAAATATTTGACAAACTAATTTTATTTCAATTATATTTTATTCTTTCATTAATTTTAAATACCATTTATATCTTTTATTTACCATTCTATTATAGTTTAAAATACTATAAATAATAATTATTTTATTAAATAATTAATGATATTTCATTCGATATTCTCAATTTAAACACTTCAATCATCATTTCAATTCAACATATTGATTATTTAATAACAACACACAATAACAAAAGAAATTATCTTCAATAAAAAGTAAATAATTAAAAAAGAATAGAAATAGTTTCTATTGTTAGTTGATATGAAAAATTTAATTTCATCTTTGTTGTGAATTAATCCTATGGGTATGTTTTGTTGTAATAAAAATAGTGTTCCATAACATTCATTATGTTTTTTACTTCTTTTACAATGTCATTTTCATTTATAATAACAAATATAAATTGGACAACGTGATTATTTACCAACACCATTTAAAAAATAGAATGTGTAGTTATCTATTTTGTTGTTTAACACTAAATTGATTTAATTAAATTTTATTTCCATATTATACTTTTATTATCAAATTATATTAGAAATAAATTGCTATTCATTAAACTAGTTAAGCAAAGAATAACTCAAATAATATTTGATTTAATAATTTAAAATTAATTCTACTATTATTATCATAAATTCGTTCTTGACTCTTTTCTTTTCATTTGTAATTTTTTTATTAGAACTATTTATTATAATAAAGTATCATTTATTTCAATAACGTAGTCTTAATATCTGGAGTTATTAACTAATTGTAAAATAATACTCTATATAACATATTATATATAAATATTATACCAAACAAAATTCAATGTAAGCATAACTAAAAATAATTCAAGAAAGAATAAAAATAAATACAGTCAAAAATAATAACGAAAAACATGAATGAATCAAATCTATTAATTTAATTATTTATAATAGGCACACATAAATGAAATGTTATAATGAAATTGGATATTAAACGATACTTTTTGATAATTTAATTAAAAATGTTATTGTTAATCAGTTTTTATATGTTTTATATTCAAATAATAAATTACAAGTAAATAAATTCTCATTAAGATGAAACTAAAACGAATCTAATGAACTAACTAAAAGATAATTAATAATTGAACCAAATACAAAGTTAAACACAAAACATTATTTTTGAGAACAAACCAATATTAAATCACAGGAAGACAAAAATAAATACTTATTATTATCATTGAATTAAAGTAAGGGAAAAGTAGCATAGAAAACTGAATGATTTAAAATCAATATTAAAATAAACATGAAGTAAATAAAAGAAGATTATAATTTTTGTAGTTAGTAATAAGTTAATATCATAATAAAAAGTAGTTAAAATGAAACTTTTAATACCTCCATGAATAATTTTCCTAAGAAGTTAAAATAGGAAACAATTATCGATTCATTTAAAAAGAAGTCCAATTATAGATAGTATGCATTTCATGACAAAAACATTAAAGGGGTTATGCTTTTATTATCTAATTATGACATTATTGAAACATAATTAATATTTTTTTAAACAGACATTTTTTCACTATTGGTTTATATTTGTATACATTTATAGATAATAATATGATTATTTAGATAATCTAAATTCTCTGGTTGATACAAATTCCTACTCAAATTCTATAAATTTAAATTATAAACATAGCTCATAATTTCCATCTTAACAAATCACACCGTTTCAATTCAATCATTTCTAAGGAAAAAGAAGATTAAAAAATATTCTTAAAAAACCATCAATTAAAGAAAGTAAAATTAGAAAAGAATTGCAAGAATAAAAAGAACAGAAACTATTACAGTAGAAACTGCTCCACATTGATACATAATCCCTTTTTCACATACATCACAATTCCATGATTTAGTATGAGAGATTCTTTCATCTTTTTTCATCTTATCATTAGGATATGTATCAAAGAACATAACATTATCATCTTCTTCATATTTGCAATAATACCCTTTAATAATATCACATTTATATTTTTTATTAGTGACATACATTCTTGTAGTATTATCTCTATGTGAACAAGTTGAATCATCAGAGAATAAACTATAGAATCCATTATGTCTTGGAGCTCTTTTAATTTCAAGACTACATTGTTCCTTACTTCCAGAAGTAGAACAAAGTAATTGTTTTATTTTTCCATCATTAAGATCAGCAGTGAAACTACTACTGAGAATTCCAGAACAATCAGCACTAGCTAAATATGTTGTACAAGTTACAGAATTACCTTCATGTGTAAGATAAAAAGAATTTATAGAAGAAGTCCTATAACACTTTTCAAATTCAAGTTTAATGAATGTAACAGCATTTCCATCATCGTCTTTAGTAAATGTAGCAATTAAGTCTTTTGAAAATACAAATGAAATAAATAAGAGTAATAATATTCCTTTCATTGAATGATAAAAAGTAGTTTGGTGGTATTTAAATAATGAGACTATTAGAAAATTATTGTTAAAAACTTCGACAATTCATATGGCACTAAATCAGGACTTTTTTAAACTTCCAACAAACTCTTTGAACAATTTAGTTGAAACTAACACTCTAATTTACTTATTGCTTTTCACCATCTCCTTAATGAAAAAAGTTAGTCAATTCATTTTTTGTTATTAATTTTTTCTTCTATGTTTTTTTTTTATTACTAATTTTTCTTCTATTTCTATTTTACTAAAAATTTTTGTAATTTATAGTTTTATTTGGATTATTCTCTTTTTGTTTTTTTTTTTTGGGTGTATTTCTCCCTTTTTTATCTTTTTTTTTACAATTTATTCTACTTTTTTTACTTCTATGATTGTAAATAGAAATTTTATTATTCAATTTCAGTTTTTCAAAGTTTTTGTGCTTTGTTTCATTTTCTCTCAATTTATTATTTTATGAATTTTTTAGTTTTTTTTATATTGAATTTTCTTTATAAAATATTTTATATAATGTTTTAAATAATAGTGTATTTATTCTACTATACTATTCTTTTCTTTGTATTTTATTGTATATTTTCTTTTGATTATATTCCTCTTTTATCCTCCTAATATATTCATATAACTTTTCTATAATTTTCTTTTTCTTTTTTTCAACTGACAATATTAACTTTTTTTTATTGACAATATTATTTACTCTTCATCATATCATTTGTTTATCTATTCTTTTAAAAAAATGGTGAACATCACAAATTCATGAACATATCTTCATGTACATTATATATGAGAATATTCTATTTCTGTTTTTTACTCGTGTTGTTTTATCTTAAAAAAAAAGAAAGAAATAAAAGTGAATGTACCAAATATATTAAATGAGGAAATTATCATTCAACTTGGAAGAATTGTTAATTCCCCAGTATCTTTGAAGTATTTAAATAAACCTATAAATAAATTGTTTTTGAATGTGTGAAGTGTAAAGACATTATTAAATTACATTAATACATTCAATAAACAAAAAGAAATACAAATTAGAAACAACAAATTGTATAATTTTGATATTTGATTTATTCACTGATTATTAATAGTGAAAATATCATGATTATCTATTAATTTATATCATTTGATTGTTTGACATTATAAATATGTGAAATGAAATGCTTTTGATTTAAATAATACTATCAAGAATGAAATAATACATTCAATAAAGATTAAGCGATATTTAATCAATGAATTGAAGAAATATAACATTTTTGAATAAGAAACAAATAACAATAAATAAGAGAATTTTGATAATGATGTATTTATATCAAATGATAAAACAAATGAAGTAATAAATAAAGAAGAAGTTAAAATTGAAATTGAAGAAAATAAATGAAGAATATCAAAAATATATTGAATGATAAATATTTGTTTGTTAGTTGAAGTGATTGACACAAAGGAGATAAAAATGATGATAATATTATCAGAAATTATAGAGAAGAAACAATAATAATACACAAAGAAAATAAAGAGAGTTAAAGAAGAAAAAGAGATTTATTCATTATAATCAATTCAACAACTAGACAAATTGAAAAATAGAATAATCAATATAATATTTGATTCAATTAATGATGAATTGAATGTTAATACATCAATATTCAAATAAAGAATAAAGAAATAATAAATAACAATGAAAATGAATTTGAATTTGAATAATATGATAATTCTATAAATGATACAAATGATAACATTTATAAATGATTCAAATATATTTGTAATTTCAATAGAAACAAAAATAAAGAATGAAATGATGAAATTTTATATTAAAAATTAACAATATTCAACTTATTTAATCAATAAAATGATTATTTGTTGATACTATTAATATTTTCAATTAAATTAATCAAACAAATCATATTTTAAACAGGAATAAATGAATGATTAAATTGAATGATTAAATTGAATTTAAAGAAATAACTATCAATAAACATTCTACATTAATATAACATAATTAACTAAAAAAAATTTCTCAATTTTGTTTTGTAACTAAAAATTACAAACACAAATAAATTATGCAAGAAACATTAAAGGAAGAAATGAAGAAAATGAAAGACATGATGGAACAAATTAATTTTATTTTATCAGAAATAGAAATAAACAATAAAAAAAGATTTGAAATTCAAATAGATGAAACAAATATTATTCAACGAAGAATTGGAATGAACCACCAACTTGAAACAATGATAAACAACACACAAAATATCATAAAATTAAAAGAACTTTCAAATGAAATGAATAATATACATAAACAACTCAATGAAAGCATTAAAAATATTGAAAAAGACTTTGAAATAACAAGAGAAAGAATAGAAAAAGAAATTAAGACAATAGATAATAAATGTAAAGATATTTGTGATGAAAGAATGAAAGAAGAAGAAGCAAAATACATTTTACATCAATGGAATAAAGGAAGAGAGATGGAGATAATATATGATAGTGATATTAATGAATGTTCAAATGAGAGACTAAAAGAAACAATAATGAATAAAGGAAATATTCTTATTTTATTTGAAGGAAATGAAGGAAATGTATTTGGAATTTCATTAGAAAATATGAAAAAGGATTATTCAGGGATAATCATGGATAAATCAATGACATTTTATGGATTTAAAAACAAATTAGGTCTTTTACCTAAATTATGGAGAAATGAAGAAATGAAAGAAATACCTAAATTGTTTATTCATTCAAATCAAAATTATATTCTTCGATTTGGTGGTTGGAATGAAAATATTAATATTGGTCATTTAAATAAGAAAGAAAGTAGAGAGGAATTAGGATGGTTCATTAATATTCCAAAACAACAATTCATTGGGACAAAAAATGAGAAATTTGTTGTTGAAAGAATAATGATACTAAAATGTTGAATATAACGGCAAATTGAAGAAATGAAGAACATGGAAATACTTTGAGAATATGATAAAATGAAATATAAAGAGAAATATAACAAATAATTCATATTATTATTGTTATGTTTATTGTTCTGTTCAATTTTAGAGAATAAAATGATGTTTATTTAACAATATTTTAATAAACATCAAATCTACTTTAAAGAATATTATTCAATTCTAAATAATTCATTATTTATTTATTATTAATATGGATATTTGTGTTTTGATATATTCATATTTTATATTCTTCTAATGTATTGAATAATATGAAATGTAGAATATGTGATAATGAGAAACAATTAACAGTAGATAGGGTATATATTTACATTACTTGTAAAATAATACCATTTCATTTATAAAGAAGAATTGAAATATTTGTATATGAATGATTCTCACATAATAATGTTGTACAAATAATATATTTCATAAGAAAATAGAAAGGATAATTCAAATATATGAACAATTAATGAAATGATTGTTCATATAAAATTTTATTCAATCAACTTGTAATTATAGACATACTAATCATGGTTAGTATTACATCAAATATAATAAATTAATTATCATCTTATTGGTTGTGTTAATTCTTTACAAATACCACTTTCAATATTTTCAATTATTCTTATTTCAAAATTGGTATATTATAAGAAAGAAATTCATCAGATAATTAATACAGATAATATTAAATCTCAAAGAATATATCAATGATAATAGTTCAAATATATTAATTAATAATAAAACATACTAATGACATGTTTGTATTGAATATTTTGAGTTAAATTAGTTTATTTAATTAACAGAGTGTAAATAAACAATATGTCATTCAATTTCTTAATATATCTGTATCTTTTAAAAGAATATAATGAAAAATGAAATATTTGAAGTAACTGATATATTCATAAAAATACATAATCTAGTGACTAATATAAACAATATTTTTTTTTTTAACTAGGTTTAAAATTTCTTGAAAAATATAAATTAATAATACTATAATATTAATAAAGAATAATTTCATCTTATCAATATCCATTATAATATATTTTTATTATTTCATTAACAAGTAGATAATTAACTGTTAATAAAACTCTCATTTATTCATTAATTATTGGATATTAATCAAATAACACAATCTTAAAACTGAGTAATTTATTTTATTTATTATTTATGTTTTTTTCTTATTTTGTGAATAAGATCGAAGGTGGCACGTCTGAAACACCACACATAAACCCTAGTACAAATTCATTCTTCGACTCTCCCAGTTATTATCTGGTTATGACGGTGCCTTTGAATTAGGAATGTATTAGGGAATGCTGCAAAGGGTGCAGCAAGAGAATACAGTCGAATATTACATGGATGTAATATAAGAATCTACTGAAGTGTGGGTATGACTAAAAGAAGATTAGTCAAAGTAAGACTAAAAAGAAGATTAGTCAAAGTAATATAGTAGTAATAAAATGATTCCTTCTCCCATTCATAAAATAAGAAAAATGAAATTCCTTAAAATTAAGGTAGAAAACAAACAAAGGCTTAAAAAGAAGAAATAAGCAGAAGAAGTTTGAAAAACCTTAATAGGAAGAAATAAAGGAAAGAAGTGCTTTCCTCATTTTGCAAGAAAAACATAAATGATAGGTTTAACAAAGAGATTACTCTTTTTTAATAAGCTCAGGGATGGGATTAGTCTCCCCTGAGCTAGGAAGAATAGATGAAAATTCTATTAACACTTAATTAATTACTTTTTATGAATGAATATTTCATTATCATTATATTATTATATATAATTTCATTTATTATTAATATCATCATTTATATCATTTTCTTTTATTATTATTATTTCATATTATCTTATTTCATTATTTCTATTATTATTTATTATATTTCTTATTAAATTACTTCATCATATTCAATTATTATTTGATATTTCATTATTTGATTTTGTATTAATATTTGTGTGTTGTTTCTGATTTACATTATTCATTTCTCATTCATTTTCATTTAATAATAAAGAATTTAACCAAATAAAAAACTGGAGTTATTTTTAGGTATTTCTCATTTGAAATAAGTTTATAGTGTAGGGGGTTTTTTGTTGGTTATGTCAAAGTTAATTTTCGTTGTAAACCAGTATTTTAACATTCATTTTATTTTTTTTTACCAAAGAGAATAACCTAAGAAATGGGTTGTTTAGTTTGAATAAAAATGAAATAAAAAAGTAGTTTAATTAAACGTATTAGTAAATTAACGAAACTGTCGTATAAAAACATTGGTAAAAGTAATTTATAGTTAAAAAGAAATTTTTGTTCTAAAAATTGTAGACAGTAGATTTATTGAGAGGTTTTAAAACTCTAACTGTTGTGTAATTTTATTTAATTTAAATGAAATACATTTAAATAGAATATAAACAAATATATTTATATCTAATTAATACTCTGGTAATAAATATAACTTGTCAAATATTTTTATTATGACAAAAAAAGATTTTAATATCGTAGAAATGTTTATTCTTAATTATAGTTTTAAAATATTTACACAAACTGAATAAGTTGTTATATTTAGTTAATTTTATAAAATAAAACTTGAATAATACCTCATTCAAGGAAAAAAAGGATTTTATTCAATGAAATTTTTTTTATATTTTATAGAAAATGAAGCTTCGATATAATTATTGTAAAATTAATTTATTTCCTTTAATTTTGGTTTCTATTTTTATTATATGAATGGATTTTTAATGAACATTAGAAGAGTTAATCTGTTGAGTATATAATATTTGTAGAAGGGATTATGGAAATAAAAAGTAAATAAGTTTTCATACCCATTTGAAAAGAATTAACACGAACAAAAGAAGACGTAATAATTTATTTTAAGGAAAAGATACTTTAAAATATGATTAAGAAGTATCAAAAGAATAGAATAAAATGAAATAAATATAAAACTAAATAGATAAATTTTACAAAAATAGGTAACTTTAAATTAAAAAAGAAAATTCTATTTCATGGGGAGTGAGTAAGATATACTATTTTTGAACGAAGAGAGTTTTTGAAGAATCAGAATCTCAAATTTTTTGGAATTAATTTTCAAGAAATGTTAGTGTTCGTGATTTATTTAATTTTATTGAAGAGTATTGGGATTGCTGAAAAAGTCACTGAAGAAGAATTTAATCAAATTTCTGTATGTGGAGATGGTATTTGGGATTCTTTTACTGAAGAATGTGATAGTGTAGAAGGATGTGGGAATAATTGTTTATGTGAAAAAGGATATACACCAGATAAAAAAGGACATTGTATTATGTCATGTATGTATGGAGATGGTTGTTTAACTGGATGTTATAAACCAGATATGTGTAGTTCATGTAATACAACAAGATATACAAAAGATTGTAATGGATGTCAACCAGGATATATGTGGTTTGGAGAAGGAAATTGTTTACCTTATGATGTTTCTACAATTCAAACATGTAGAAGTTTTATTGATGACTCTGATAATTTAACTGCTGAACTTGGATTAAAAACAAATCCATTTAAAATCAATTTAAATAAATCAAAAGTAGGTAGTGAAACTGTTATATATAAAATTGATATTCCAGAATTACCTGTTGAAAGAAGAAAGTTACAACTCACACATTGTTCTAGATATACTGATCCAAGTCGTCCTTATACTTATGGAGTATGGATTGAGTTAATTCATGAAAAAGAAGCAAAAGTAGCTATTGAATTAGATAAGAAATATTATGTAGATGATGTAAATCTTGCACAAGCACAAAGAGAAACAATAGGAACAGAACTTGCATTTGTTTTAACACAAAGTTGTCTTGATTCAGTTGATTCCAAAGATGATCCACAATGTATGTATAGAAATGGTGGATTATCTAAATATATTTTATCTCCAAGAATTACTTCTGTAATTTATCCAAAAACACCATATTATTTATTTATTCATTCAAAATATGCATCAAAAACAATTCCTTCTTTTACTCTCTATATTTCTGATATAAGTCATGCTTGTTCTACAAATTCTTTTGATTTAGAATTAAATGTAATTGGTACTGGTGATGGATATCAAGGTGTTTTTGAATTAGCAAATGCTATGGCATCAAGAAGTATTTGTACTCCAAGTTTAAATAAAGGATTTTGGTTTAAAATAGAAGGAACTGAACAAACACTTGATATTTCAACTTGTGACTCTGGTGCTTTTGATGTTACACTTGATCTTATTGAAGTAAAATTAAGTGATTATGGATTAAATAATACTTCAACAGACCTTTCTTCAATTGATTGTAATTCTGCACCAGCAAAATGTCTTGCAACAAGAACATCAGGTTGTGGTGAAGATTCTCGTCTTGCAAGACTAATTCAACGAATAGATAGTAAACATCTTTATTTCTTATTTCTTCAAATAAATGAAGAATATGCCGCTTCAATTAATTTAACAATTAAATCAATTTGTCCAGGTGATTGTGGTAAACGAGGTATTTGTTCAACTAGTTCTGGACAATGTGAATGTATTACTGGATATAATCTTGTTGATGGAATATGTACATTATGTGGAAATGGTAAATTAGATAAAGATGAGGATTGTGATCCAACTATTGAAGGAAATAATGATACACAATGCACAGACGTTTGTACATGTGTATATGGAACACAACCAATGGAAATTAATGGTGTAGTAAAATGTGCAGTTCCAACATGTGGTAATGGACAAATTGATGAATTTGAAGAATGTGATGGAGGATATGGATGTGATCATTGTGTATGTGTAAATGGAACAAAAAAATATGCAAAAGCTAGAGATGGTTGTATTCCTGCTACATGTGGTAATAAAAGATGGAATGAAGGAGAAGAATGTGATGGAGGAGATGGATGTATTGAATGTGAATGTCAACCTGATTGGTATACACAAGATAAAGCACATTGTAAGAATGTATCAAAATCACTTACTAATTTCTTTTTTTGGGGAATAGGAAGTATAGTTTATGTTCTTTA